CCAGGTTCGATTCCGGTCAAGGGCATGTACCTTGGTTGCGGGCACACTCCCGGTGGGGGGGTGTGCAGGAGGCAGCTGGTCAATGCTTCTCTATCATTGATGTTTCTAGCTCTCTATCCCTCTCCCTTCTTCTCTGTAAAAAATCAATAAAATATATATATTTTAAAAACTGAATAAAAGCCGAAACCGGTTTGGCTCAATGGATAGAGGGTCGGCTTGGGGACTGAAAGGTCCCGGGTTCGATTCCAGTCAAGGGCATGTACCTTGGTTGCGGGCATATCCCCAGTAGGGGGTGTGCAAGAGGCAGCTGATCGATGACTCTCTCTCATCGATGTTTCTAACTATCTCTCTCCTTTCCTCTCTGTACAAAATCAATAAAATATATTAAAAAAAATAAAAATAAATAAAAACTGAATAAAAGGTTCTACCACAGTGCTCCTGGCTCCAGAGATTGTACAATTTCCCAAATTATTTCTACCATGACCCAGGGAGTCTCGCTCATGTAGATGTTTCTCATCTCGTCAAAGATAGAAATACTAGTGAGAAAAACTTGAACTTGGTTTAAAATGAGAATTCTCTAATGAAAACAAAATCAAACTTATGCTTCATTTTTGGTGAATTATATAACACAGAATACACTGTGGGTTCAGCTTATAGCCACACAGATTTTGTCACCTTAAGTCAAAACTATGTCTTTGAAATAAGGAGATATTAAGATATTTATTCTCTGACTTGGGAAAGTCTCATCTCTGTCACCAGTGTGGAAAAGGGATCTATTCACCTAGGAACTTATGCAGTCCTCGAAGTTTTTATTCCTGTATTTGTTTGGACTTCTTATGTAGCAGCAAATACCCAAATAATGTATTTTTAATGATCAGCAATTTGCATACTGTTAAATTCCTATGAACCTAAGAAAACTTTACTGATTAAAACAAAAAACACCACCAAAACCAGTTTGGCTCAGTGGTAGAGCGTTGGTCTGCGGACTGAAAGGTCCCAGGTTCGATTCCAGTCAAGGGCATGTACATTGATTGCGGGCACATCTCGGGTAGAGGGTGTGCAAAAGGCAGCTGGTCGATGTTTCTTTCTCATCGATGTTTCTAGCTCTCTATCCCTCTCTCCTCCTCTCTGTAAAAAATCAATAAAATATATTTTTTAAAAAATCACCAAGGTATCTGAGAAGAGAGACACAAATGAAACCCTGGGAACAAAATTGCCTCTGCTTTCTTCTCATAACATGAGCCGGAAGTAGAGCCAGTTTTCATATTACAAGTCAATTCTGGAAAGTACTCAAGCCAACTACAACCCACTAAATGAGAGGAGATTTATTATGTGAGGATGAGACTGGCACAGTAAGGGGCAAGTGCTTTACCATTAACCCAATCTTGAATGTGTTTAAAGTCCCCACTAGTCAAGCATAAGGAAAGCAGTGCTTTTGTCCAAGCAGATATTTAAAATGCCTATTTTTGCTCGCAGATAATCAATTTTATATAATTTAAACTAGCTTATATAATGTTAAACTGGCTTCATAAATAAAGACATGCCCTGTTTATTTGATATATCCCTAGCCCCTAGCAAAGTGCTAGGATAGAGATGTTCAATAAATAATTTTTAAATGAAACTAAATATGACTGAGACACAGCAACCCAGAACTTAAAAACCCAGAACTTAAAAAACAGATAAGCACAATCTTGCAAAATTAACATGTTGGAAAGCCCTATGATAATTATAGTGACCCTATCCATCGTACCACTGATTTCACAACTTCTCTAAAACTATTAACAGGTCCTCGAATAATGTTATTTTGTTATAACATTGATGAGATGTCATAGGAAATTAACTCTGATTTGTATCAACCAAACTATGGTAAAACTAGATTCATTAGACGTCATTTTGCTTAAAGTCACAAAAATATTGGCGATGTTAAGTGAGGAAAGTTGTAGCTTTTTCCTCCTGCTAGGGAAGCCTAGGAACCTCGGAAACAGAATTAAGGAATTCCCCACTCATCACAAGAAACTCAAAATGAAGCCCAGAAGAACAGGCTGTTCTCCTCTCAAGGTCCCTATGAAGAACAGCTAAGGGTGGCATCACCAACTAGGATGCTGTGAATCTCCCGCTATTCCCAAGGGTCATGTACTTAAAAAAAAAAAATAATATATATATATATATATATATATATATTTTCAGTTATAATGAAAGTAAGCTTTTGTATTATCTTTTGTCAAACATCTTTGACAAAAGATATATATATATATATTCAAAAGATATATATATATATATTCTTGGGTCATATTGCAGCTCAGAACATATATATATGTTCTGAACGATATATATATATATATTCAAAAGATATATATATATATATATATATTCTTGGGTCATATTGCAGCTCAGAACATAACCCCTTGCCAAAACAGGTTTGGCTCAACGGATAGAGCGTCGGCCTGCAGAGATTTTTTTAAAAAATATCCCTAGCCCCTAGCAAAGTGCTAGGATATAGATGTTCAATAAATAATTTTTAAATGAAACTAATCGACCAGCTGCCTTTTGCACACCCTCTACCCGAGAAAAAAAAAAAAAAAAAATATATATATATATATATATATATATATATATATATATATATATATATATATTTTTAAAGTACATGACCCTTGGGAATAGAGAAGGATAGAGAGTTAGGAACATCGATGAGAGAGAATCATCGATCAGCTGCCTCCTGCACACCCCCTACTAGCGATGTGCCCTCAACCAAGGTACAAGCCTTGACCGGAATTGAACCCAGGTCCTTGCCGACGCTCTATCCGTTGAGCCAAACCTGTTTTGGCAAGGGGTTATGTTCTGAGCTGCAATATGACCCAAGAAGCTAAGCTATAAAGGCTTCTCTCTGGGCAGAGTAGCTGATAACTTTGACAAATGCCTGCCCCAAATGCCACCGTTTTTTAGGACAAGGATGAAACAAAAGAAATTATTTCAAAATGCCTACTGGTTTGCTCATTTAAAAAGGATAATAAACTATCAAAGATAACCGGATGTATGAAACCACTACCAATAACATCATCAGCCTACCAGGAGCATCATCAACGCTTACTGAATGGCTAGCTGTACACTTTCATTTTACTTTCTTTAGCCAAGAATGCAATCACAAAACTGGTTGACTTTCTAAGAAGTAATTCAATTCTCGCTGAACTTCACTTGATGATCTAGATGTTAAAGGCTCAAAGGCAGCATGGGTTCTTGAAGCAAGGTGATTCCCCTGGAGTCTGCAATTGGATTGATGACTCACACTAAATTGATATAGTCTTGTTTTCTTTCTGCACCTGCTGATGCAAGTCTTGCAATGAGACTGACGTAAAAAGAATTTGCTGCAACAGCTAATTCTCACTTTGTGTTGTGTATTTTTAGAAAACCTACCTTCCACTTTGTTAATTATTGAAGATCTACAAAATGAGGAAAGGCACATTTATACATATCAAATTAGTTAAGTGTATGTGAATAATAATGTTCAAATGCTGCAAAGATAGTGCTAAAAACTGGTTACAATATAAGTTGGGACAACCATTAAGAAAACAATCTGGCAATATAAATCATAACCATATTGTATTTATGTATTTTGATATATACTATTGATAAGAATGTATCCTAAAGAAATATTTCAAATAACAACAAAAAATAAGCAGGAAAATATTTGCCACAGTTTTCTAATAAAGAGATAGTGAAAATAAGCCTAATATGCCCAATGTGAGGGATGGTCAACATTGCATTTAAAATTTTTGGTACTGAAAATTACGTAGCAATACAGACAGATGTTTGACAAAAGATAATACAAAAGCTTACTTTCATTATAACTGAAAATATGGATAAGCAAAACAAGGGAATAAACAACAATGTTGTATATAAATATAAAACAAAGGGAATATACAAAATAGTTAAAAAATACATTTGTAGTCATTTGCAGTTTCTGACTTCTTGTTAAATTTTGTGATAAGACAACATATCATCTTAACTATTTTGCTAAAACTAGCCTGTGGATCAACCATTTTAAGTGAAAAGATTTGAAGTTAAGTTGCTTAAAGAACCCTGCCTCTGTGTTAAAAAAATAAGTAAATACATCACAGGTTTCTGATTTTCACTCTCTTCTCACCAAAACCCTTACAAATCCTCGGGCCAGACCAATGTATTATAGAAAGTGAGGCACATGACAGCCCTGTTTGGTGAGGCAGACTACACGTGACCATTTTATTTTTTTATTTTATTTTATTAAATTATTATCTGTGTACATATCTTACCACCCCCCACGTGACCATTTTATAGGCTCTGAGAATCTGCAATAAGCCTCTTTAACTTTGGCTAGTCCAGAGTTTGCGAGATGTACTTGATCACAAAACCCTCTTTGCATGCAAGACCCCCCAAACATTTTCCTCCCCACAGTTTGGGAAACAGTGCTTGGGTGATGCTCAAAGGAAATTCCCAGGAAGATTCCAGACCATGTGCTCTCCAGTTGAGAGGCACTAATGACAGTCTCCTTATCCCTCAGGTATATGTATTAAGCTAGAGAAAAGGCTTGAGAACCACTGATCTATGCTGCTTCTTAGAAACAATGGAAGCCCATACAAATAAATCCTCTAGGGTACCGGTCTGGGAGGTTTTTTTGTCCTTGATAAAAAGGGTTCTGATCTAGTCCAAAGGTAACAGCAGTTTCTGCAAAGAAATGGTACCTCTTCTTTGTAATTATAAAGTGGTGACCAAAGAAATCTGAGTAACCCATATGAGAATTAGTTTCTCTTTTAGCTATAAATACAGTATTGTTGATGATGTGAAAAAAGCATATCTTCTTGAAGTTTAAATATTTAAAAAAATATGTGTATGTTAGTAAGGTGTCTCTACCCAATAAACTCCAAATAGCTACTTCGCAGAGCTAAGGAGTGGACAAACACAGCCCCCCACCGCCTCCACACACCCCCCCCCCCGTTCTTTAGCATTATTTACGCCATCTTTACCTCTGGGCGGAGTGTAGCTTTCATGCAGACTTGGCAAAGTGGTCCGTTTCGGGAGAACTGAAGGGGAAGGTGCCGAATCCTATTCCGACAGGTTGGCTCCTCACAAATCAGCCAGCCCTGCAGAGAAAAAAAGAGAACTCTTCAGTCCTCTCGCCACCATCAACAAATTCAAATAAAGACCCATGTCATTATCAAGGTAGACTCTTCTCATTCAAATTTCCCTTAGAGATTCTGAAATACCTTCTTAACTTCCTTTCCTGATGTGTAATTTTGATCTATGCCCCAAACTTAAAAGTTAGGCAATTCATCAAGTTAAAAAAAAATAACATGAGATGGTATTCTCTTTTCTTAAAATACAATCTCCGTCCCACATATGACAATATCCCCCATTAAAATCTTATATGATTATTTACAGATGTAAACCAATGGGTTTTAGTTCATTAGTACAGACCATTACCAAAGTAATGAATATGCCACATAGAAATAGATGATTTTTCCAACAGCCGAGTAACTAATTATTACTTAACTAGAGGCCCGATGCTTGGCCCTTGCAGCCCCAGCTTTATCTGGAAGGATGTCTGGAAGGTCGTTTGGCAGTTTGCATATTATGCTTTTATTATTATATTATTGATTGCTGAGATCAGTTTCCTTCTCGGTGAAATGAGCACAACAGTACCTGCTTTACAGGATTATTGTGGTTGTGATGTAACACATTCAGAGTGCTTAGACCTATGCTTGGCATAAGAGAAAAACTGGCTAAATGTGAAAATAAAATATTGTAAAAATAAAACATTGCCTGACTGGTGTGGCTCAGTGGCTGAGCATCGAATTATGAACCATGAGGTCATGGTTCAATTCCTGGTCAGGGCACAAGCTCGGGTTGAGGGCTCTATCCCCAGTAGGGAGTGTGCAGGAAGCAGCTGATCAATGATTCTCTCTCACCATTGATGTTTCTCTCTCTCTCTCTCTCTTCCTCTCCTTTCTGAAAGCAATGAAAATATATTTAATAAATAAATAGATAAATAAATAAATAAAATCAAAACATTATTTTGCACACGTTCTCTGGAGGCTGCCATGTTTTCAAGGACAACGTCAACTGACCACCCTTTCCCAGTGGTTTCAAATAGCCACTGCCCACTTCTCTGTACTTTCCCTCCTGTAGTTACTCCCCCTTGCTGCTCTTGTGTGAATGTTCCAATACACATGTGATAACAATATGTCTGTTATCTGAAATGGGCACTGTTTGCTATGAAACATATCTGTTAAACAAGTAAGATAAGACTTCACAAATAGGAATGAGCAAAACTCAGGTTCTCTGGGGGCTTTAGTGCTGTATGTATTAGGCATAATATACCTAAGGGAAACTAGAGGGTATAAAGGTGAACAAGGTATATTCCCCTGTTGCATGGGTTCCCACTCGGGGAACTGCAAACAAGGACCTGACTGTCTTTGAGTCTTAGAGCCTTTGGAGAAGCAGAACTTCTGAACTGGTCTTGAAGAGCAAGTATATGTTGGAGAAGGCAGGAAAGACAACTTAGGTAGAGAAAACAACATGCGCAAAAGAATGAAGGCCAGAGAGAACAATGTGAATTATGATCAAGAAAGGCATCAGTGATATTATTAACCATGTTCCCTTTTTCTAGACTGAGCAACCTATTGGGTTTTGTTCTGCCTAGAGGAGAGCAGTATATCTACAATTGCTCCTTAATTAGGTTAGGGACCTTCGTCTGCCACTTATTAATGTGCTCACCAATAGCATTAATCCAAAGTTACGGGATGTCCCCACTAATTACTGTGCTAAGTGAACTCATTCCTCAGAATAGGCTCTTCTTGGAAGTAGTTACAACCAAGTCAAGGCAAAGCACTCCAAATCCGTTCTTTTACATTTTTACTAGTATGCCCAAAGAAAGCAGACTGTAACATTTTTATTTTCCCATTTTTTAATTAAGTTATTATATGTGTACATATCTTACCATTTCCCCACCCTCCCACTCCCATACATGCCCTCTGCCTGTGGATTCCTCTAGAATTTTTATGGTTTCCCATATTATGTTTAAGTTCTGTATCCATTTTGAGTTTATTTTTGTGTATGATGTAAGTTGGTGGTCTAGTTTCATTTTTTTGCATGTATCTGTCCAATTTTCCCAAAACTATTTATTGAAGAGACTGTCTTGGCTCTATTGTATGTTCATGCTTCCTTTGTCAAATATTAACTGAGCATAGTGATTTGGGTTGATGTCCGGATTTTCTATTCTATTCCATTGGTCTATATGTCTGTTCTTGTGCCAGTACCAGGCTGTTTAGAGAATAGTGGCTTTGTAATACAGCTCAAAATCTGGTATTGAGATCCCTCATACTTTATTCTTTCTCAGGATTCCTGTGGCTATTCGGGGTCCTTTTTAAAATTTTATTTTAAATTTTTTTTTTATTCCAGATGAATTTTTGAAGAGTTCTTTCTAGGTCTGTGAAAAATGCCATTGGTATTTTAATGGGGAGTGCACTGAATCTATAGATTGCTTTGGGTAGCATGGACATTTTAATGATGTTGATTCTACCAATCAATGAACATGGTATGTTCTTCCATCTGTTTACATATTCCTCTCTTTTTTCAGTGTTCTGCAGTTTTCAGCGTATAGGTCTTTTACCTCTTTGGTTAAGTTTATTCCTAGGGATCTTAATTTTTTTGGTGCGATGGTAAATGGGATTGCTTTTTTAGTCTCTCTTTCTGTAAGTTCACTATTATTGTATAGAAATGCCATAGATTTATTTGTGTTAATTTTGTATCCTGCTACATTGCCAAAATCACTTATTAAGTCCGTTAGTTTTTTTTTATGGAGTCTTTAGGGTTTTTTATGAAGAATATCATGTCATCTGCAAATAAGGACAGTTTTACTTCTTCTTTTCCAATTTGGATGCTTTTTATTTCTTCTTCTCTGATAGCAATGGCTAATATTTTCAGTAATATGTCAAACAGGAGCAGTGAAAGTGTACATCCCTGTCTTGTTCCTGTTCTTAGGGGAAATGGTTTTAGTTTTTGCCCACTGAGTATGATGTTAGCTATGGGTTTGTCATATATAGCTTTTATTATGTTAAGGTATGATCCTTCTATTCCCACCCTGTTGAGAGTTTTTATCAAGAAAGTGTGTTGGACTTTGTTAAATGCTTTTTCTGCATCAATTGATATGACTATGTGATTTTTATCTCTCAATCTGTTTGAGACGTATCACGTTTATTGATTTGTGAATATTGTACCATTCTTGCATTCCTGGGATAAATCTTACTTAGTCATAGTGTATGATCTTTCTGATGTACTGCTGAATCCGATTTGCTAGAATTTTGTTGAGGATTTTGGCATCTATGTTCATGAGGGATATTGGCCTATAATCCTCTTTCATTGTGTTGTCTTTATCTGCTTTTGGTATAAGGTGATGCTGGCTTCATAGAAGGAGCTTGGAAGTATTCTTCCTCTTTAAGTTTTTGGAATAGTCTGAGGAGGATAGGTTTTAGTTCTTCCTTGAATGTTTGGTAAAACTCCCCTGTGAAGCCGTCTGGTCCCGGGCCTTTATTTGCTGGAAGCTTTTTGATGACTGCTTCAAGTTCTTCCATAGTTACTGGCCTATTGAGTTGTTTAGATTCTTCCTGATTGAATTTTGGAAGGTTATATTTTTTCTAGGAATAGGTCCATTTCCTTCAGGTTGTCCATTTTGTTGGAATGAAGTTGTTCATAGTATTTTTTTAATAATCCTTTGTATTTCTGTGGGGTCTGTTGTTATTTTACCTCTATTATTTCTGATTTTGTTTATTTGGGTCCTCTCTCTTTGCTTCTTGGTGAGCTTGGATAGAGGTTTATCCTTTCAAAGAACCAGCTCTTGGTTTTGTTGATCTTTTGTATTGTTTGTTTGGTCTCTATTGTATTTATCTCCACTCTGATCTTTATTATTTCCTTCCTTCTGCTTACACTGAGCCTTTCTTGTTGCTCTCTTTCTAACTCTTTTAGTTGTAGGGTTAAGTAATTTATTACCATTGTTTCTTGTTTTTTGAAATAGGCTTGTAGAGCTATGAACTTCCCTCTCAAGACTGCTTTTGCTGTGTCCCATAGATTTTGGATTATTGTGTTTTCATTGTCATTTGTTGCCATGATGTTTTTTCTTTCTTCCTTGATCTCTCTGGTAACCCAGTCATTGTTTAATAGACAATGTTTAGTTTATTGTGGGGGATTGCTGTTTAGTCTCCATGTGTTAGATTTGTTTTGGATTATTTTTATTGTAATTGATTTCCAGTTTTATGACACTGTGATCTGAGAAGATACTTGGTATGACTTTGAAGAGACTTTGTCTATGTCCCTATGGTCTATCTTTGAAAATGGCCCATGTGCACTTGAGAAGAATGTATATTCTGTGGCTTTGGGGTGAAATGTTCTGAAGATGTCAATTTCATGTGGTCTAATGAGTCATTTAGGATTGATATTTCTTTGCTGACTTTTTGTTTAGAGGATTTGTCCAATGGTGACAGTGGGGTATTAAAGTCTCCTAATATGATTGTATTGCTGTCAATCTCTCCCTTGATATCCTCCAGGAGATATTTTTTTTAATGCATTTGGTACGTATGTTTACCAGAGTGATTTCTTCTTGTTGGATTGCTCCCTTTAGTATTATGAAGTGGCCTTCCTCATCTCTTATATGTCCCTCATTTGAGATCTAATTTTTCAGATATAAGTATTGCTACCCCAGCTCTTTTTTCATTTCTATTCGCCTAGAAAACCTTTTTCCATCCCTTCACCCTCAGTCTGTGTACATTTTTTCCCCCTGAGGTGGGTTTCTTGCAGACAGTAGATATATGGGTCTTGTTTTCTTATCCAATCCGTTACCCTGTGTCTTTTGCTTGGGGCATTTAATCCATTTACATTTAAAGTTATTATTGACAGGTACTTATTTGTTACCCCTGTGTTCCTTCTTCACTTCCTATATTCTATTTTACAGCAGACCCTTTAGCATTTCTTGCATTGCTGGTTTAGTGGTGATAAGTTCCCTTAGTCCTTTTTTGTCTGTGAAGCTCCTGATTTTACCTTCAGTTTTGATTGATAGCCTTGCTGGGTACAGAATTCTTGGATTCAGACT